TGCTCTTGATATTGCTCTACTGTGTGTTAAAGTCGTTTTCATTATGTGCAGCTTATAATCATAACAAATATCCTTACCTGTACAGCTTATGTTCCTTTCTTCAACAGTCAGCTTCACTTCATTACTTTTTCTTAGGTTGTCCACAAATAAACTGGCCCAGTAGGTGTTCGTGTGGTTTTGAGTGAGATTTGTGATGTGGTAAAATACAGAATTGTTTTGGGGGTAAATAACAAAGGAACCTTTCCCACTTTTAAAATCGTCAATCTTTTTCTCGCCTGTTATATAAATTCCAATTTGACTGTTTTCATTAATGCTAACATTAAATGTAAATTGAAGGGTGATGTTGCTGCCAAAGATCCCGATGACTTGCGCATGGCTGGGGTCTGTATGGAGACAGAAGAGGAGATTTGCATTATAAACACTGATTAGTGGAGAAATTAGTTTGATGTTTTTAATGCTTTTACTGTTATTCAATTTAAATTTAATAAATCCATAATGATGCATCAGTCTCCACTCATGAACACATGATCATACCCCGCTTTGTGTTCCTATATTATTTTAAACTGATGCTCTTCAGTATACAGTGTAAGCTGTGGGTAGCTGGAAGAAAGCAGTAGTGAAAACAGACTAGTCCATGTGACATATTCTGTGTTAGAGACATCAGTTGGTTTAATCCTCAAAAACCTAAAAGCCACAGAAGCAGCACAGGACGACTGATCTTCTCCACAAAGGAAACAGGCGGGTCACTTTTCCCTTCTGCTCACTACCTTAGTGCAAGTTCCACGGTTACTTTCCATCACTGACAGTAAAACTACAGGGTAGTGTTTAAACTAGGCTAAGCCACAGTAAAATGCCAGCAGTGCTGGATCAGTCTACACAGCCATATAGCCGCCAGCAACAGCACCAAGGTGAAGTTCAGACTGATTTACCTGATTTATCTAGCTGCCATCTGTGTCTAAAGTTCAGTGTTAGCTCACATATAGAAATGGGATAAGTAACTTTTCTTAGATGTGTCATCTCCTCTGTTTGAAAGTCTCTCTTCTGTAGAAACTATGTGATTTGGTGATTAGAAACCTTTAAATAGCAAGTAATTATATTTAAACAGGAGTCTAGGTGTTTGGACACCTACTAAAAACAGTAACGGAAACAAATAAAGTTCAAATATATTCTATTATACGCTAAAAGGTGAAGACACTATCCTTGTATTCCCGGCTGGGGGACTGGAGCTACTGCGTTGTCTTTTTCCAAATTAATCAGCCCAAATCTGCGTTTTCTATCTATGTATCTATGTTATATATCTATTTTAAGTTAAGTTATTGTTCAAGTTTTTTCTCTAAACATGTGTGAAGCACCTGCGGATGTCTCAATAAGGATTTGAGGGCTTGTGGTATTAGTACGATCGCTTGTTTTTGGCTACATAAAAGTGTGATTGCTATATTTGTTTAACATCAGAACGTACACATTATGAGCCAGGGCTAAATTCACAATACCTCAGACTAGCTTTAATTTGCTGCAATGCCTTTTTCACCTCAGACACAAGCACACAGTGTTTTATCCAGAATGTGTCAGTGTTTTCAACATTTATGAAATACCCAGTTCCCTGTTTTAATATCGCTCGTCTGTGATAAAACTCTAACAGATACCGAAGCAAAACTTAGAACGAACCACTTGTGGAAACAGGGTTACCGACAAATAAAGTTGAGTCACAAAACCAGAGCTTTGTGGAACTCCCCAATTATGATTCAGTAATGGTAATTGAGTGGGGGGAACTGAGTTGTCATTAGAGACCTACTACAACGAGTTACATACAAAATATTCAGTGCATTAACTAACTGTCAGAGGAATCAGAGAGCAATAAATGTAACAGAGAGTCGAGTTCATCATGTGCTGCCAGGACACAAAACCTCTCACACGTCACGGAGTAAAACAGTTACGAATGAGACAGCTTACCGTTGAACACCATGTGAGCTGTGATGATGAAAACTAGCCCGAGAGGCTTCGTGATGGTGTTTTCACCCATGATGGAAGCGTTAGGCTGCTCGGAGGCCTCTTGCGACGGCGCTTGGGCTTTGACCTTTCTGTGTGTACGTTTTTTTTTCAGCTGCCCCTGTGATGTAAAGCCTAAACTCTACACTTCTACACAAGTGACAGCTTCTGTGCCTGCCTGGAGGAAACTGTAGACAGGAACTTACACCAACACCAATTTATCTAGCTTCGGTATCATAAGCGCCTCCCGTAACGGAAGACTTCAAAGGGGTTCATGGACATGTGGTGCAGACTGTGAGTAGGATGTCACTCACATGATGTGGGTAAAGTCAGGAAGAGTAAATAGTTTCCTTCAAATTCTGGGGGAGAACATAGACTCTTACATCCTGTTTCTCTTAGAGGACAAATTAAAGTTTAAATTTAGAGCACGGAGAAACAAACAGCACTCTTTTTTCTCTTTTTGTTACACATAAATGTATTTTTCTTGTTTTCTGCTGTTTTGCAACATTCATCTTGTATGAACAGGTTCAGGAGTGCTCAACACGACATCAAAAAACATCTGAACTTCTAAGAATTCCAGCAGCAACTTTTCTTCTAAGAAACAACACTCAGTATCCTGCATGTCCACAGACGTCTGCAGATCAGAAGATAAATGCACATTTGCATGTTTCTTATCAACTACAGTTATTCACGATTGAATAAACACAATGTTATTTCAAATAAAAGGAGCCATCGTTTTAGGTCCACGTGCATGCCAGCTTCCCTGTGCGTGACTGTGATTGTGAATTATCGCACATTACCACTGACAGACTGCAAAGAATGGCCTAATAAAACATGTTTCATGAAGCAAACAATAGTTTACAATAGTTCACTGTGAGCAGCTGGAGCTCAAACATCAACCGCTGTAACCACAGCTGTCTGCAGGTTTGATCTTTATTGAACACCAGACTTGTTTTTTTCATCTGTTCATCTGATTAGAGTGAATTTACCAAGAATACACAGA